GCAGTGGTTCAACACAAAGTGTCCTTACGATGAAAGGCAGCTGGCTGACAATTAAATTGAGCTGCGGATTGCATGTCTCGATCACGAACCGCGTTTTTGGAGACATGATACAGGCATTTTGACAACTTCTAGTTATCGCTGATATCGGCCGAGGATCGAGTAACTTAAAAGTAGCGCCGTAACCGAAAACACAAATGCGTGTAAAAACGTGCAATCGCGGAAAAGCGTATAAAAACGGCACGGAAAAGGGCCAAAAAGCCCGTACATAACGCTAGTAGAATACATTTATTGGCAAAGACCACTAACGCCGCTTTACTGCGCGTAGAAGCACCAAAAGTTAAACATGCCGTCCGCTACAGTGATAGATCTGACACGGTCAGTCTGTCAGCGACTCTGACGCCACAAAAATGCCCCATGACGTTATCAAACGGTAACGTGTTGAGCAGCATCTTCACTAAAATTGTGAAATCTGGTTAGTTTGAGCATCCTTTAAAACATTCCAATAGTCACAATGAGCTTTTTCCATTATATCTGATGCTTACCTCAATATCTTCAACTAAAGAACAGTCTTTCTAAGACAACTGACCTGACGCGTACCAAATAAAACTATTGATTGCAACGCTGGAAAGCCAAATTCTTCTGCTCGATAGTTTAAGTGTAGGCGGAGGGGGGGGGATTTTGTTCTCTGTGTGCCATTGAGATATATCTAAATCGCAGAAATAAACACGTTGCGTGCAATCTGCTGATTGGCTCTTGCAGTCCTGACGTAACATTCGGTAAGCGCCGGCCATTACGATTATGGCAAAGCACGTCACGCATGTCGTGGGATCGCTCTAGCACACGTTGTCGGTCAAGCGTCTTGAAATCCTCGCTGTGGTTGACGTTGGGGTAGTCAAACCCAATATTGCTCAGCCTGGCGAATGAGCGATGCTAATCTGCGCTATAGCTGCTCCGCCTTTCGCAATGCTGGAATACTTTGGAGAACATTTCGTCGTGTTGCCGGTCTTGTATTCCCTCCGAAGCCTGCACATGATTGTCTACACCGCACATGCCTAGGACCCAGATTTATTCTCGCATAGTGATCTTTCTGCGGAGGTATTTCCTCTTCTAAAGAAAGGTATCGTTTACCACGACTATTTTCCCTACCACACCCACTTCCAAACCAGTCATCGCTGCCAGGACACTCTGTGACAGCGCATCTCGGCAAATTGCGCCCAATCGAACGAAGTCTTGCTGTTTGCTGCGACTGGCAGCATTCAATGCGTCACTTGTTCTTTGATCCAGTCTCGTGAATGTAGTGTTTTTATGGCAGCCGATAACGCGGCAGAGGATTTCAGGATGCCCTGGCTTCAACAGGAAGTTGCCGCCGAAAAGGTGCTGCCTCTTTTGGCATATATCCAGTGAGATATATCTTTTAGATATATCTCAGCATCACAGCAGTGTGATCATCTATATCTCAGCATCATATATCTCAGCATCACAGCACAGCAGCAGTGAGATATATGGCAGCATCACACTTTTCCGAATCACCCACTAGTCAGCCACCATATGCTTTACCCCGACGTCCGAGCCCTTTGGCAGCACAGGTGGTCCAGCCGATGGGCCGTACCTCCGCAGAACGTTGACGACATCTTCGCATCACCGGCTTTAAATTAAAAAGATATAATTTATTGAAAGACACCAACCTAGTCCAGCTCCATGTATACCAGAAAACCTTGGAGCTCTGCACGTAGCTCCCCAACTCTTCATAGCTCAAAACTCACACGAACAAACACACCGGCGCCGATAGGTTGCGCAATGCTTCTCTACGTTTTTCCCTGTTTGGTGTTCATGTGCGAGCCGCCGCATTCAGAAATATTTGGCGCAGCTGATGCAAGAGAACGGGCAAATTTTGCACCATAAGCGTGCTTTTCTCACACAACATCGTACGTGGTTCATTCATTTCCTCCCCGCACAACCTGTGCAGTGTAGTTGGATGTAGTCGGGTGTCTGGATGTAGTCGGATATGGGTGTCAGCACGGTCTCCGTCGATTTAAGAGGACGGACAACGTGATGGGAGGGGAGCGGAGATGATTGTGGTAAGGTACCCGTAGAACTGCAAGTGGACCTCACGCCCCACGATTTTAGCGGTGACCTGGATGATGGATAAAGGATGGCAAATGGATGGCTTGGTATGGTCACCACGGAAAGAAAGGGAGATCTATAAAGTGTTTTCAGGATGGCAGGAGGTTCGGAAACGGAAAGGCCATGCGGCGAAATAGCGCGCGAACGGCGTCAAGGCTGAGGGCGAGACGCAAACCAATAGCGTCCTTACCACAGGTCGACGAGCTCTCGATGCTGACAACTCGCAACGGTGTGAGGGTGAGGGCTGATGGCGTCATAGCGCTGGCATCTGCATGTGTCGTACGGCATGAAATATGGGATCGCGTGACCTCTTTGACCTTCACCGGTCACGAGAAGGACTTCGCCAACAAATAGGCGTTAACCAGGGTGTGGCGACGTGAGTTACCCTGGCAGGCTTACTGCACCCCACACCGGAGCGAAATCTCCACCACATCGATTTGGCCCTCTTCCACGATCGGCTTCTGAATGCTGGCGGGTGTCACACCGCACCTCTGAGCACACTGCGGAGGAGTGGGAGGACCGGAGCAGGCCCGTGCTGCGCCGGGGACCACCGGAGTTGCTGCGTCAGGCAGCGGACGTCATCAGTCACCACGGGTGGGGCCGTACAAGCGCACCGAGCTGAACGGGACGTCGGCCCGTTTGGAGTGCTGATGGGGTGGGCACGTGGGCACAATGTGGCCACTTCTTAGTCATAGCTGGAAATGAAAACACCGTGCTCCGATCAGCCCTGATAAGATCGAGGTGAAAAGAAGGCTCGTCAATGCGATGCAGAACACGAACACGGGCGGTGACAGACGACGGTGGAAATCTGGTAGGTACATAAATGGAAGCACGAACAAACCGAAGCGAACTGATGTGAAGAAACCGCTGTCACTGCGCTTGATTACATTGGAATCATCAACAGCTAAAAAGGCGTATAACGGATCACGATAGATAAATACTGGAACCGGCGTGCTGCAGTCACCCAAAATCCCATAAAAATTCATTCAGACATACCATACCACAATCACAGTCAGGCTTATTAACGCTGTACCTCAGACTGTCACGTACTACAACCTTACCACGGGGATAGTCAATCAGCAGACGCTGGTATAGCATCCTCCGATTCGACGAAACCCCGCTTCTTAAGTCGGCCAACGCGCGTCTTTAAGTCGATAAAGAAGCCGAAGATGACGTGCGGCCCGCAATCGGGCCTGACAAGTGTGCACAGAGACTCCAGCTCGCTGCTGCTGATCGTGAGCTGTCGCCGTTTGACGAGCACACATTGGCCCCGTGCCGCGCGAGCACTGCAACGCCGTCAAAGTACCCTCAGCCGTCCGGCCGGTCGGCGGTGGCAACTATGAAGAAATCATCCAACATGGTGGGTTGCAGTTTGTTGCCATATTCCCTCCAGTCTGTGTGTGTAACACAAAACACCATTTAATGCATCGGTGTGTATAAATACAGTCAATATTGTGGGCCTCCTGGAGGTGAGATCCAGCTGCAGTCGGCGCTTTTGTGTGAAAATATACCTGTACCCTCTGAGAATACGATCTTGTACTCTGCACTTGCGCTTTTCACTTTGCATCGATATATTATATACATATCAAGCTTCGGCAGACTTCTCGCATCAGCCCTGCAGAATCCAGATTGAAGGACATCTGTCCTCGCCTCTGTAATCGTGCATTGCTAGCATCAATACAATTTTGATAGGGCCGAGCCGCCAGGCTTTCAAACAACGCTCTAGGTCGCAGCAGCCGCCGCGTTGCCGACACATGACTTAAGTCTGTTTGTTGTCATTTCTTCACATGTTTAATCATGTCTTCGATACACAGTACGGTGTTCCATCAGAACGGGACTAATGCGTCAGTGGGCGAAACAGGTCCATTGGTGAAGGGATTCGCCTCGCCAAGCATTCACTAATTACGAAGATATCCTCCACAATCCTCCAAACGGGCTATTGGAGACATATGAAGTGCTTAAACTACTTAGGTCAACGACCTCGTCAAACAATGGTCAAGGTAATGCTAATAAAATGGGAGCAATACCAAGTGTATTGTGAGCTTTGTCGAGCAAACTGTAGGTGGTATAACCGACTTGTTTTTCCCTGGTCATAACGCAGATAATCTGTAAAATACCGTTTCCGATTATCCATATGACCAAGAACATACCACAGCACTAATACCACAATAAGCCAGGCCATTACTGCACTCCCCAGACCTGCGGTCTCCTGCGTATAACGTGTTAACGACCTCAGTCCCCAATATTTTTTTGCCAGCCCCCACGGTATCGCACACGGTCTCAAGTGCGTGACAAGGAGGATGATTAGCCTGAAAGGGGTGAATAGTCTTCACAGACTTTTCGTTGGTGGAAATGGTTGCCGACCACGCCACTGATGACTCGTTAAATGGTAAGTACAATTTCACCACCGTGTCTTTATTGGCAGCCACACCACATACCACGATATGTGGTGTGGCATATTGCGTCGTATGGTGACAATGACAAGTAGTGAGGCGGTTTTTCGCTCATCAAAGGGTGGCAACGTTTGCATCGGTCTATGTACAGACGACACAGCTATACGCAATAAACAGTTGATCTCAGTCTTTTCTGGTCAAACGCCTCAGAGAGTGACCCTGCATACGCCTTGTACTTCAGCAGTAATAAGGACAAAGCTGGCGCTCTTACTTAGCTGTCATTTGTCTATGCATGCATTATGTAATGCAACAAATCAAATGGCTTAAACTGTGTTAGAAAACGAATATTCTCCCTCAATCGCTCGGCCAGTGCCGCCTCTCGGCGTGGATGGGACCAAGCCTCTGCCGCATCCGAGCACAGTCACAGTGACATCTTGATCGAGGCCAAGCGACCACAGCTATGCTCTAGGCCAAGGCATGCAGCTATGTGTGACGCCTGATTCTCCTGCGGGCTAAGCAGCACTCGGCCACCAGCGCCAGCAGAGCCGCGCCCATGCCGGCCAGCAAGAAGTAGAAGGCGCCCATCAGCCGGTGGAGGTCCAGCGGAGCGACGTCGTGGCTCAGGGGTGCCGAGCGCGTACAGCGGTTGGCCGCCACCTGTCCGAAGATGCGCTGGATGACGCCCTGATAGCGCAGGCGCCGGATGGCCCTGTCGAACAGCGCGCTGTACTGGCTGTGGTGTGGGAACATGAGGCTGAAGAAGTCGCGGCGCACCGCCTGCCGCGCGATCCGGACCGGGCAGAGCGCCGCTGACGGCTGCCCAGTGCGCGACAGGTAGTCGTCGGCGCGCTGCAGCAGCGCACGCTGACTCTGGAAAAACGCCAGCTCACCGCGCACCAGGGCCGACACGAACTCGGCGCTTCTGGTGGTGTGGAGGGAGGCGTGCACAGCAGCCGGTGCACGCCTGCATCTTGCGCCAGATGCGGCCGCGCGCGCCGCTGCTGGCGTTCTCGAAGACGTAGTATTGGCTGTGGCCGAAGGTGATGTGGGGCTCCAATGGCGACGCCGCCAGCTCCTCCAGCGTCTCGATGGCCGCCGAGTAGCGGCCGATGGAGAAGAACGCCGTCAGGTTGCCCGCGTAGATTGACATCAGCGTCACCGTGCTCTGAAATCCACCAATGTTCGTGACCCTTTGCAGCGCGATAGGCATTGTCGTGACAATGCCAGGAGTGTGTATGCGCTTATCGTCACTAGATCGCGGCACCAGTCATTATTAGGCAATAAAACTAGACACGCTACCATGCCAGCATTTTCAGCATTATTGCTGTATGGATATAGCAAAAGGCGGCGGTACAGCCTGCACAGAAATCAAGTGACTGAACACAGTGTCACGTCGAAGGCTGACCTGTTGGATGCATTAAAGTATATTTGAACCATTTTACTGCAGATGTGCGCATGAATAAGACGCGCATGATGGGAGTTAAGTCTGTCCAATGTTTCCCCCCAGCCACGCTGTGATATACTTTTTTAAAACTGCTGCATCCTTTAATCCTATTTTTGCGTTCAATGTCGCTCAAATTATGTGTGGGAAGGATTCCCCTCCCGTGAAGATTAGGAAAGTATCCCGCGAGCTTTGTCGCTTTTAGACTCGAACCGACCGCTAGGACCTACACCACAGCTTAAATAAAACGCAGCACACAACAGGGACGGTGGCAGGTAGCTGCGACAGGACCGGCAGACCACTACCAAGGGAAAAAACGGCGCGCAGGACTTTGAGGGCTCGTGAATCGAACGCTAAGGAGACCCCTCGCCTTTTCAGCACAAGGGGCCCGTGGGATGGACACCGGGCAGAACATTACGCTTCCCGGTCAGAGACTGGAAACGGGGACCATTCTGGCGAAACGGGGACCGGAGCCCGCTTCAAAACGCTAACCCTAACGGCCTAAAACCTAGCTGCAAAACACATCGGGACGGCAATTTGACCGCGCATGAAAAAGGTTGACACAGCCCCTGAGAGCTCAGCCCCAGGAAGACAGCAGCTGCCACGCACCATGTAGATGAAGATCATGAGCAGCCTGGTGGCCGGCTGTGAGCTGGTCACGTCGTCGCCCTGTCCGAGGAACATGCGCAGCGACTGCTGCACGTAGGCAGTGAAGGAGGGCACGCGGCGCGGGCCGGCGCGGGCGGCGCGGACGGCGCGGGCCGAGCGGGCGCTCGCGCGACGACCCAACGGCCAGCCGCGCACCGCGCCGCCGGCCAGCTCGGCCAGCCGCAGCACGGCCGCGAACAGCAGCACGTACAGCGCTGAGAGCGCCCACAGGCGTGGCGTGAGCACGCCGAACACGAGGAAGTCGGAGTGCTCGTGGTCCGGCTGGGCGGTGCCGATGGACATGGCGTCGCTCCAGAACCACTCGCCCATGTAGACGGCCGCGCTGCGCATGACGTCGACGGTGCAGGTGCCGGCGCCGAAGTCACCACGCCCTGCTACCAGCCACGACACCCGGCCGTCCAGCGAGCCAGTCGCTCTGTCCGCAGATGGGCGCCAGTGGTATAGTCAGAGGGTTGCATGGGTCACGTTCCGCGACCCTGTAGGAGCGTAAAGTGGTGGCAACTGATGACAGTTGTTTGGTTTAGTACTTGATCTCAGTTCTCTCATCACTTTTCGCACTTTCTCCTATGTTTTAGAACTGTTCGTTGCTCCACTTCGTCAGCTACTAAAGAAGCTACTTGTCATCTGGCAGGGAGACAGCTGGTTTTGTTTAAGTGAGCTGCTATTTTTTTTAGCTCCATGTGTTTCAGGACGAGAAAGAAAATTGAAACAACTGTGCAGCCTTCAGAGCTGGGATGGCACACGATGGCGAGCCCGTGTTTTAATGGGCAACGGAATATGATACAATACATAAGCATTGCCAAACCCAATCCACAAAGGGGCGTAAAAAGGCTTTAAATTGAAACAAAATTACGCACGCCAACAAACCAACCAGCCGCATAGCAGCTGGTTCGCAACGAGCAAAGTTTGCCACTTGTTGTTTTTGTTCCTGAAAAGCACTATTAAGATTATAAATAATACTTTATATTACTAGCTTATTATAAAAACACCATAAGTATTTCTGCTTTCACGACTGCTCGGGAGAAATACCATGTGAGCGAACCTGGAGGAGCAGCCGGCGAGCAAAGCCTGAGAATAAGTGAATTGTGGATTTTGACATCAGAACGGATGCTGCGCATTTGCGTCTCAGAAGAGAGATAGCTAATCACATCACCTCGCTTGGGTGCATCCCAAGAATTATAGTTTGCTGTGAATGGCAGCGGAAGGAGTTTTTAACGGAAAGGAATGACTAAAATGGAAACACAGTGCCAATAATTTGTGATGGGCTGGGTGGGCCTGGGTGGGCCTAGGCTTAGTATCTTAAATTTTAATTAATACACAGTGTATTGGTTACACCTGTAAAGTGCTCCAGACCGTCTCAACCTGATTATTTGACGCACGCAACCCTAATCTTGAAGCAGGAATCGTGGCATGGCGCGGGCAATGGTTAATGTGCGCGGACTTGCGGCCCCCTGGTCCAGTGGGAAAGTCATGGATGGAGAAAGTGAGAGTCCGGCTTTCCACGGAAGGTCTGTTGACAACTAACATCGTATTGGGTACGAGCTCCGTGGAGGGACAATAGTTCTGCCCGACTGGCCAAAAAGCCCGTCGGCAACTTGACATCCGTAACGGAGCGTCGAACGTGCACTGCGTCGTAACGGAGCGCTGAACGGAGCGTCGTACTGAACGACCCAGAGCACTGAACGGCACGAAAAACCTCCACAGTCCTGGCTGGCAAAGTCAAACGGAAAATGCGCAACGAACTGGAACGGCACACTTCGGGTGACGTGACCAGCGGAATACGCTACAGGTCCCGCTTTGCAAGCGCAGTAAGTGCCATGGACATAACACTACTCATCCCGAAGCATTTGGTGGTGTATTTGCTTTTGATCTGGGAGAGGTGGAGCATGGTGGTAGGAATAACAAGGAAGCAAGGAACAATCGGCACTGCGGGGCGGGAGAGCAGCGGGAGAAAATGGCTTGCTGTAGTTAAACCGGGCAACGTCCAAATGCGACCCTGTAATTGAAGTCTGCGCACAACGAGCGGACGAGCAGTCCTGATGTGAAGAGTGTAGCTAGCGGTTCAGAGGAAGTGAGACGGCGCGGACGAGCAGTCCTGATGTGAAGAGTGTAGCTAGGGGTTCAGAGGAAGTGAGACGGCGCGGCCGAGCAGTCCTGATGTGGAGAGTGTAGCTAGGGGTTCAGAGGAAGTGAGACGGCGCGGACGAGCAGTCCTGATGTGAAGAGTGTAGCTAGGGGTTCAGAGGAAGTGAGACGGCGCGGCCGAGCAGTCCTGATGTGAAGAGTGTAGCTAGGGGTTCAGAGGAAGTGAGACGGCGCGGACGAGCAGTCCTGATGTGAAGAGTGTAGCTAGCGGTTCAGAGGAAGTGAGACGGCGCGACCGAGCAGTCCTGATGTGAAGAGTGTAGCTAGGGGTTCAGAGGAAGTGAGACGGCGCGACCGAGCAGTCCTGATGTGAAGAGTGTAGCTAGGGGTTCAGAGGAAGTGAGACGGCGCGGCCGACGGCTCGATGAAGGCCGCACTCTCTCGTCCTGCCCGAATTCTACACTAACTTCGAAAGTAAAACTCCTTGACTTCACCCGCAAGTGGAGTGATTATGTTGGCTAATAACCGTAAACACAAACAAAGCCATGAGGTATTGCCTGACTGCAGTTTCTGTGTAGCATTAGTCACCTGCCGTGCGCCACAGCCGTTCTTCCTTATCACCTCCGGCTTGAAATTGAGCTTGTCGGCGAGCATGTTCAGGGTTTGTCCGAGGTAGCCACAGAGCTGCGTCCGGTTATCGGGGGTGACGAACGCCGATATGATGGTGGAGGTGCAGTGGTCGGGTAGCGTCTTCCTGGAGGGCGCCAGAACACGCAGCGTGCGGCCGCCCAGCTGCCGGAGCTGCCAGTCGGGTGGCGGTGCCCCCCGAGACCAGGGCACCAGCCGCACGCCGTCTCGGCCGGGCGAGGTGGCCGCCAGCCGCGCGCACGAGGCGTTCACGCAGCTCACGACCACAGCCGGCTCGTTCTCGCGCAGCACGGCCTCGAGCGCCGGCTGCGCCTGCTGCGCGTCACCGCGCACGGCCAGCAGCCAGCTGAGGAGGCGCGAGCGGGCGGCCGGCTGCTGGCCCAGCCGCCGGTACGCCGCCGTCACGTGACCCAGCGAGCCAGCCAGCAGTATGGTGAGCCGGTCGGCCGGCGGGAAGCGGGGCGAGCTGGTCAGCACGGGCACGTCCTGCTGCCAGAGGGCGTCCCGGAGCCGGCTCTGGAGGTCGTCAGGGGCAACCTCCGATAGGGAGACGACGCCAGGCAGGTCGGCCGCCGACAGCGTCTCCGTGGTCAGGGCCACCAGGCGACCGTCGTCTGAGGAGAACAGACTGGTGGCGTGTATACCCAGGACACGGTGGTTAGTCGCGCGTTCTTCTAAAAACGATAGGAAGCACATTTTATTCGGAGGTGTGAACACGTGGAACCGACTTCCAGGGTGTGTGCGGACGAGGGCAGAACACTTGAAAAATTTGGAAGCCAGAGCCGGCATTTTTTGCTGGAAACATAAATCAGACGTAGTATGTTAATCAGGGTTGTAAGAGCATGCGCGGTGTTAAGTGTGTATCTTTTCAATATGTACCAGCGGCCTGCTGAATTAGCCATTGGTACCCTTTTTGGGCCGCCAGTTCCTCCTTCACAGGCAACCATAGATGCAACATCTGTAAACTTAGAAGCAATGTTTGGTATTAGTAACGGTTTTTGAGCTTCCTGACGCGACTGGTGACAGTGGCAAGGCCCTGCTAATTCCTTTGTCCGGGAGCGCGTATCGCAGGCTTGCGTAACATGCGCAAACAGTTTATGGATGCCTGGCAACCTTACAAAAGGTATGGAAAATATATAATCTATCACAACAAGTTGAACTGACTAAGAATGCTGCGGTCTGCCTCAGGATACAGTCTGACGGAGCATAAAAGTATGACACTAATTTGAAGACCTAGTTGTTTTGGTACAGTGATCTTTTCAAGCCGTGATGGGCGCGGCTGAGGCGCTGAAAACGGCAATATGACAATATTGTCATATTGCTCATATTTTCTCAACTAGTTGCAGAAGGCTTTGGATGTTAATTTCAACTCAGTTTATCGTATCAGAACACGTATATTTTAGTCATGACTGCTAGTTCGGACATGCTAGTTTTAATCTACCGCCCACTCTGGCTTTTGTTCTGCCGCCTCTGACCAGTATTTGACATTCACTACATAATGAGTTGCGTAGGATATTAAGTGCATTTGTGAGGAACGTTATGCATATAGATAAGACGGTGGTAATCTATTACTGCTCTTCATTTCAATGCAGGTACGCTGCCGAAATATCAACGCGTCTATTTCTCCATCCTCCTGGTTTTCCTACCAGAAATAAGGCTATTACCACTGTCCTGTCTTCACGTGAGTTACATAGTGACATTGGTCATGATCGCATAACTCGTTTGTATTTGAAGGCATAAATGTCATTGCGAGTTTAAGCTTAAGTCATTACCAGCTTGTCATTGTCATTACCAGCTTAAGGAAGTGTCCATATTTGCATTGTGATTTGAACTGAAATAGCCATTTAAGAACATTCGGTGCAGTTAACAGTCGTGTCTTTTTAAGACCTGAACCCCTTTAGTTTCTGAGTTGCACGCCCGCAGAGATGTGCAGACTATTTCAAGGTCACCCAGACATCAATGGCGCCATAATAACGTCATTGAAAATCTACTATCCCGTTGGTCATGCGGTGATCAAGGCCAAGAGAAATATTGCTGTCGAGTCGCTCGTATCTGACGCTCGTGAGCATGATTTACAACTATAACGGCCGTCGGTGGGCTCTCAATCAATGGGGATAATTGGGGGATGGGATGACGACCAAACAATGACGTATTTAGGGGCATATTTAGTAGATAAATAGGTTGTGTTGTCTGAAGCAGTCTTTTCCATTTAACAGTATACCCATATTTAAAAGTGAGCATATTTTGTCACATTTGATGCCGCGTCAAAATGATCAAATGTAGAACATTTCTTCCAAAGCCCTACAGACTATTTGTGCATGCGCCTTGCGAGTATGCAGGCTCTTAAGCTGCAGCTCTATTGCTATTCAGTCACGCATCATATTCATAAGTAGCACGAACGGGTTAATTGCGTCTGCCACTTACGCCGCAGGAGCATACATTTACACCGCAAAATGCATCTATCATTTGTTATCGCGTGTCCGTGCTATCAAATGTTGTGACAGGGGCGCATTGCAACTCCTCGGACTGGTAGTATGTTATGCCACGTTTTCCCAGTTCAGGCAGAGTAACACATTATGGTTAGCGCTTTTCGCCCCGAACGTATGTACATTTTTATGAATTGCATTTCCGCCGACAAAATCGAAGTTTAACGCTTACAAAGACACTTGCCGGTATTGAACACTGGTAGTACGCTGATAAAAGGATGAACTTCAGAACAGGCCCTCGGCTGTGTTTTTTACAAATGGAGTTGTCCACGCAAATATAAGCCTGCTCTACATCATAGGCATTTTCGAGCATTCATCTGCCATGAAACCAGACGGTGCCATCTGTAAACCTTCACTTGACGGGGAAGGGGTCTAACATCCACTTTGTTGACGTACAGCAGTCGGGGAGAAAGTTGACTTCCGCCTACGGTTTTTCGAGCACAGGTCAAAAATGAACGCTCACAATAATACCAAATTTTGAGTGTCTATCTATCTATAAATTTGGCATCCTTTGTGCGAATCAAGATGTTGATCAAGATGAGATCAGTGACCTGGGTCAGGTCAAAGAGGTCAGCCTCTAAAAAAATCGGCCGCCCATATTTTTTGTGTGCAATGTTTGTCATTACACAGACTTGCCACCACAACCAAATATGATGGTGCCTACGGTTTATCTATTTCAGATTTTTCGAAGTAGGCGGGTTAGGTCACCTGACGTGTCGTAATTATTTGCAGTTGTTCCGATATTAATGCAAATTTTTGCGTATTTTGGCACAGTTTCGTGTTTGTGCGGTAGGAAAAGAACACTGACTGACATTGCGCAACCATCACATTACCACAGAGCATACGAAATTGGCCTGGGCCATGATTTATCTCTAAAGATGCGTTCCGCGAAGCCCATGCTTACTTCAAAGTAGGCAGGTATATTTCACAATTTTGGGCGCAAAATTTGATAATTGCACTCAAAACATGTTGTGATATCATTCAAATCCATAATGAGGTCACAATAGGTCACATGAGGACATCAAGGTCATATGAGGTCGCTCAACATCAATGGTCTCTGTTGTCAGTGAGACTAGGTGAAGAAGTGCGGTGTATCAAGCCACCTCTATATCATGTTTGGGAAGCTGATGGCGTATGATTCAATGTACCAACGTGCCTGCACTCAGTTTGCTACAAATACCTTGTCAAGAATCGAATGGACTATGTATAATGTATACAAGAGCCATGCGATCTTGATCACTTATATATATATATATATATATATATATATATATATATATATATATATATACATAACACTGCCACACACAAGCATTGCATTGGTCTCTTAGACCAGGTAAGGACTTAATATTTTCAATTGGTGGTTTATGAATTTGACCTAAATTGACCTGAGCTGACCATTCATTCAGACTAAATTTTGTTTTTTGTCCGGGATACTTTTGTTCCGAAGACGCACTTAATGAAACCAACTTAGTCGGAAGCAAATTTTGGAAGAAAACAGAACGGCCACTAGTAGACCAATGTTGAACGGTGATCTGACCTGATTTGACACTTGTGGTAGAAAAATATTCGGAATGGACTCCCCATAGTTTTAACGGTCACGTATGTGCCCTCAAAATCCGTCTTGATGAATTAACATATGGCTTAACTACATCTCGTAGAACGGCAATTGTTTCCCTTTCGTGACCTCTGGTTACCTTGCATATGACATAAGGTCAAAAGTCCGGTGTGCGGGACTTGCACGACATCTTCATTCATCTTCATTCACATAGAATCTTCATCTAAGTACCTTGTTAGGTACTAGCATCTTTCTTGCAGTCTCCCGATTTTTGAGATGTACGGATTTTAGGGTCTGGCTCACACAAGCAGCCTCTCAGCTCACGGAAGCACCACCACTTTCGGAATGTCCATCGAAGCGTGTGGTGCGTGGTTCCATTGCCGGCAGCTGATATTTTGAGCAAGTTTGGATGACTGAAAAATGACCTATGCAGCGATTAACGTGAAAGCTGGTCGCATTGTCCTTCGGCAAACGTATGACTCGGGACGAGAGGCGTCTAGCAAGAAATAGCTCGCATTTCCACCGCCACCGGTGTATGCCGCATATCAGCTTATTACGTTTGAGTTCAAATTACGCTGACAACGTTTTGTTACAGCACTGCGCCCCTTTCTTTCTTGGTATTCCCAGGTACTGTAGCCTAAGAGCATATTGACTAGACCTCAGAATCAAAGGTGCTTGCTTTTTGTTTCATCACCTCAATGCCCACATCCATATGCCAACTCCCACAGACCAGTCATGGAAGCCCAACCACAATACTTCCCACATTGTTTAAAGCAGGTCGCCAGAAATGTGTCATTTATTTGCTATGTGTGTATATCTCTGAGGCATATACGTCAGTAGAATTCAGCTAAACATGGTGCACATATGAAGGTATGTAATATGTCCGCGTGCAACAGTGTGAGCACGCATTTAGTTGTGTCCTACGTATGTTTTCCCTTACCTGCGGAAGCCAGCGATGACATATAAATGAAAAGAACAGGTAGCAAATTAATGCTTGAGCTAGTACAGCCTTTCACTGTGGCCCACATGGCAGGCGTGGGGACAGGCTGCGCACCGGTCCCACCGTCCGGGCGGCGCAACCTTCCCTGCCGGACTACTCGGCGCGACTGAAGTGGCGGGACTGGACCCCTGGCCGGGCCGCTCCTGGCAACTGGGGCGGCCTGACTCGACTGGCAGAGCCTGCACGCAACCACACATACAAACACACACATATACCTAACCGTGTCGTCAAGTGGAAGACGCGGCAGCTACAGGTGCGCTGCTGATGCCTGCAGCAGACGCCCGCATCATTCCTGCTGGATGACCGGTCCTGCAAACACTCCAAACCGTACTCTTGTTTCAAGCATCAGTTAAACAATGCAAATGTGCTCGGCGAATTACAACCCGCAGCGGGCATGGGATGTAAACCAAAACGTTGGTGTACATCATGTGCGCATGTGTTCAAAAAATATGTGAGATGTTACTGTTAAGAACAAGACGAGGGTAAGTCTACCTCTCATGCTATGTGTTCCTGAGCTTCACTCTGAGCTTCTGTTAGCAACCAAGACTCGGGCTGGTATCTGTCTCTTCTCTCTCTATCTTCTCTCTCTCTCTGCTGTCTATCTCTCCTCTCTCTCTCCTCTCTCTCCTCTCTCTCTCTCTCTCTCTATCCTCCTCTCTCTCATCTCTCTCCTCTCCTCTCTCCTCTCTCTCGCCTCTCTCTCTCTCTCTCTCTCTCTCTCTCTCTCTCTCTCTCTCTCTCTCTCTCTACTCTCTCTCTCTCCTCTCATCTCTCTCTCTCTTCTCTCTCATCTCTGTCTCTCTTCTTCCTCTCTCTCTCTCTCTCTCTCCTCTCTCTCTCTCTCCTCTCTCTCTCTCTCTCTCTCTCTCTCTCTCTCTCTCTTTTCTCTCTTCTCGTCTCTCTCTCTTCTCTATCTTCTTTCCTTTCTTTCTCTCCTCTCTCTCTTTCTCTCTTCTTCTCTTCTCTCTCTCTCTCTCTCTCTCTTTCTCTCTCTCTCTCTCTCTCTCTCTCTCCTCCTCTCTCCTCTTTCTCTCTCTCTCTTTCTACAAACGTAGTTTTCACCTCTGCCTTACACGGAGGCCGCAGAGGCACTTTTAAGCCCTCAAAACTATAATGCTTACTTGCAACGGCACTGTGGTGAATGTGATATTGATAGCCAAGTCAGGTCATAGGGGCCCAAATCAGTACATCGTACAAACACCTTACCGAATTAGTACGTTAGTACAAACACCTCCTGCTAAGCATGTTGCAGCAGTGCAAAAACGGCGTGGAATGGCTTTTATAAAAGTCTATGAAATGAGCATTTGCCCATAGGCAGGTGTAACCCGCAATCAGACATGTCAGGTCAAAGGGGTAAAGGCTACTATTGCATTGACCCGCCCAGCTATCAAGTACGAAGCAAGCCCCGTCAGTGTGACAATGGCGACAGGAAGCATTTTAACGTATAAACTTTAAAACAGGTCAAATCTGGTCGCAACTGCTACATTGGCATAGCTTTACTTTGGATAGCATGACCTGAAATAGCAGCCAGAACGATAAGTGACTTCAGAGTTATAAAGGTAAGGGACGCTGTCTGGAAAGCGTTCTTGGGGTTACATCCCCTGCGATAGATAGGCGTTAGTTGCTTTTTTTTAGTTGTTTTTGTCACGCACATGACTTCTAGAAACCGATCAATAGCCAGTAATGCTAAGTTGTAGACGCTTAAAAAATTTCGGTTCAGAAGCGTGGGTTAATTGGGTTCTGTTTCCCTCCGTGTAAGTGGTGTATACCCCACACCAGTATCTGTGTATAACTATGACCACAGCCCCACGCAGTTATCAACAACAAGAAGCGAGATTACTAAAGCCACGTAGCGTTTACATCGTGTGCTGACGTTTTCTGGCGGACGCTTAGGCCCCAGCCCAGCCGTCCTGCTGCTGACCTGGTTCTGACCTGACCTAAGGCTGCGCCGCAAATTGCGGGGAAGTGACACAAAATGCAGTACAGTGTCAAGCGCACTTGAGAAATCAACTGAGAATGCCGGGACTTGCTGCTCGCTCTCCGGTTTCAATGACTTTCGGAAAGAAGCTACATGCAGCGTGGTCGGGAGCGTTGTGAAAAGACAAAGATCCCTTCCATACGGACTAGCCTCAATTCCGTCTTTTTATGCTGAGCAGAGTGATCACGCAATATTAACAACAGGACATAATCCAGTCAGACTAAGACAGATTAATGTTTTACCTAGGCGTCGCCGGATTCACGGCCTCCGAGCTGAATATTGCATTTTGTACCCTCCTCGTTTCGCCCAGTCATGTTGCGTAGCTCTTAAATGTAGGGTATATTATAACCTCTCCAAAACGTTCGCAGTGTCAAGAGTGTCACTTCCTGCAATCTGAAAGAATCCACAAAGAATGCGCGGGAGGGTATTGTGTTCCCATGCTTAGAAATAGTTACGCATGTGTAAGGTTTGAAGACTTTGACAAGCAGCACGAGTTTGTAGAGCGCAGAGAATAAAACAAAACTCGGGGAAATCCACCCAGCAGCCTTTTGGTAGGCCAACATGACTTGTTTGTACGCGGCTGTTTTGAACAAACGCTCTTTGGCAGGGACAGACTATTGTTGGTCGGCTGGCCGACGGTTCCGTGCAATTTCTGTGGAAGTCCGGAATCCATACGTGACAAACACTTACACCAATTGGTGAAATGCTCATTGAATGCTTCCGTAATTCACGAGCAATTGGCCCTGCATACGGCTAGTACGACAGCACATATTTGGGTACCAAGAGACATACACGCTAGTGGTGCACGCAAGGCTGTTTTTCAGCTACTTAGCTAACAGGCTAACCCCAACCGAACGTCAGCCGTAGGCAGCGGCTAGCCGACTTAGCTAGCCGGCTGTCGGGAAGCTGGTAAGCCATAAAAAAGCGTGCGAACGGATTTGAACAGCGGCTTTGGAAGGCATAAACCCCACCCGCTCACCATCTTGCGACAATTACTGGCGTCTACAGACGCTGAGCTGATAAACATACTTATTTTTCTTGGCTTGAAATTACATTGCAGACAAATGACAAATAACGCACAGAACGTGTGATCGCTTGTGCGATCACCAGAGCCCCTGGCCAGTGGCTAGTATGTATATGAGATGTCAAAGCGCCAGCGGGCATGACAGATGTATGATGGGCAACACGTACCTAGCCCTCACTCCTCGTTTAATGAACATGGGAGGACTCCATATTTTTTCTCAAGCACCCACGGCGCACGACCTGCTTTATGTAAGCGCTGCACCATC